AAACAAGGGTTAATTAAGCACCTACTATGTGCTAGTATGCTAAGTGCTTTACAAATATCTTGTTAGATGCTCGTAACAGCCCTGGGAGGTGGGTGCTATTGTTATAGAGTTGAGGAAATTGAGGCAGATAGAGGTCAAGTGACTTGCCAGGACCATATGGTTGGTGTCTGAGGGCACATCAGAACTCAGGACTTCCCGACTCCACGCCCAACACTATCCATTGTGCCACATAGCCGTGAGGTAAGGAAGTGAAGTTAGCAAACAGTTTAACAAATGTGTAATTTGTTAAATGTTGCGATTTATTGTAATTTGATGTTGCAAAATTATAGTAACATGGGAAGGAAAAAGGCATGGAGTTGGTGGTAAGAAGGGAGATTTGGGGAGTGTAGGATAGATATTATACCTGTGATTTTATTAGTAAAAGGAACTTCCCAAATAGGACACTTCTCTATCAAAGCAGGTTGACACCTTCACTGAAGCTTTATTTTTAGTCCTAGAAAGTTGCCCAGAGCATTGAGAGGTTAAGTGACTTTATCAGGGTCATACATCTAGAATACATCTGAGGTAAAACTTGAATCCAGGTCTTCTTGGCGTCAAGGCCAGTTGACTACTGCGTTACAATGTTGAGTGGGGTGGGGACTCGTATAAGGACAGAGAAGAGCTAGATGATGGAGACCATTACCCCTATACTCAAGAGGGGTGAAACCTGGTCCTCAAAACTGGTGGAAATATCAAGTAGGAATGACTGAAGTAAATTTTTCTTTTATTCCCATCCAACTCAACTCCTCTCAGGTCTGTGATGCTAAAATAGGGATGGGGAGAGAATGTCTTTTTGCATCCTTGGCATTAGCCCCAGGATGCCAGACCACCAAATACTAGGCCATGGCTGATCCTTTTCTCTCCCAATAGGAAGAGATAAAGAGGGAAGATTCCATCCTATCCACACATCCCACCTCCATCCTTCTTTTCTCTATATATAACCCACCCACCCCCAACCAGGTTTGAGCCTCAAGGACTGCCCCTATTCCCACTATTCTAATGACTTCTCTGTTTCTCTTCCCAGGGGTGACAGTGTGGGAACTGATGACCTTTGGGGCTAAACCATATGAGGGGATTCCTGCCCGAGAGATTCCTGACTTGCTGGAGAAGGGGGACCGACTGCCGCAGCCCCCCGTCTGCACCATCGATGTCTACATGATCATGGTCAAATGTAGGAGGCTAGACCATAATTCTAATCATAATAATGCACTACTCACATTTATAGAGAACTTAACACTTAATGAAGCCTTTTCTTCCGGATATTCCTGTGAGTTAAAGAGTGTAGGTATATTATCCTCAGTTTACAGATGAGGAAACTGAGGCTCAGAAAAGCTAACAGGGTCACATGGCTAGTAATCATGGGAATCAGGATTTGAACTAGGATTTTTGGAAGGTGCTCTTTATGATGTACTGAATAAAGGGAGCTGCCCAAGGACATGTCCAGAGCAACTTCTGTGGGTTCATTTCTGCTTTAGTTTCCTCATCAGAAAAAAGTGGACTATAATGGCATCCCCCCAGGCTTATTGTGCAGATCAAATGAGAGATATCCTAAAGAAATTATTTTGCGCTGGAAGGGACCTTTGTAGATCATCCAATCAAAGGCCCCTCAATTTACAGATGAGCAAAGTAAGGCCTAGAGACTTCCCCCAGTCACACAGCCAGTGAGTAACAGAGCCAGGGTTTGACCTTACGACACAGAGGGACCTGAATGCAAGTCAGAGGAAGGCCTGGCCCAAAGGGCAGCTCAAACACTGTGGCGGGCTTCCTCTCTCCCTGACGAGCCAATGGACTTCTTTGGTTACTAAGGAGGCCCCTTTTGTTTCTCTATGCCAGGTTGGATGATTGACTCTGAGTGTCGGCCTCGGTTTCGGGAGCTAGTTACTGAATTCTCACGGATGGCCCGAGACCCTCAGCGCTTTGTGGTCATCCAGGTACTAGGACACTAAATTGCACCCAAGCTGTATCCCACCCCTCTGTCCACAGAGGAAAGGGTGCAAAACTGAATAGCAAGACTCCTGAGCCCCACCCTCACCCCCCCAGGATTTTCCTTAATACTTGTCCCAACCTTCCATTTCTCCTCCCCAATCTCTCATACTACAGCCAGCATTTCCTCCATAAAACTTTGTGGTGTCATCTCCCTTGCCTTGGATTTTCTGACCTTCTGTCTCCCAATGAAATCTCACCCACCGAACTTTACACAATGATGGGGGCAACCACGTTGGTGAAGGGGTTAGTATGATTGCCCCATTCTCTCATTAGAATGAGGATTCTGGCCCAGCCAGCCCCCTGGACAGCACTTTCTACCGCTCACTGCTGGAAGAAGATGACATGGGTGATTTGGTGGATGCAGAAGAGTACCTGGTGCCCCAGCAAGGCTTCTTCTGCCCTGACCCTCCCCTGGCTCCAGGTCCTGGGGGCACTGCCCACCGAAGACACAGAAGTTCTTCTACAAGGGTAAGGGTGGGGGCAATATCTATTGGGAAGGGAACCCTAGCCTGTTCCCAGGCCACACTCCCATCTTAAGCCTCCAGCCAAGAATGACTCCTTTATTCACAACTTCACAATCATCTCCTATTCTTTGTCCCCAGAGTGGTGGGGAGCTTCCAGGAGGACTAGAAGGCTCAGAAGACGATGCTCCCCAATCTTCAGCAGAGCCTTGGGAAGGGACTGGTTCAGATGTGTTTGATGGGGACCCTGGAGGGAGCCCTAAGGGGCTACAAGGACTTCCTCCTCGAGACCTCAGCCCCCTGCAGCGCTACACTGAGGACCCCACAGGAACACTGCCCCCTGAGATGGATGGCTACATTGTCCCACCTGCTTGTGGGCCCCTGCCGGGTATGAACACCCTGACCTGGGAGCTAAAATTTTGAGCCTTCTTCTTTAAGTGTTTGAGCTAGGGAGGGAGGAAGGGAAATCAAGGTGCTCCCCTTTCCTAAATCAAGGTCTAAGTTCTCCCCTCGAAAGGAAGATTCTCTTTCTGGTAGGAATATATGGTTAAATTTCCCTGTCACCCAGGATCTTTTTTTCTTCAACATTTCAGAATATGTGAACCAGCCAGAGGTGCACCTACCACCCCCTTCACCCCTGGAGGGGACCCTGACTCCCCCTCACCCATCCAGCTCCACCCTGGAACGCTCCAAGTTGCCTCCTCCGGGGAAGAATGGAGTGGTAAAAGACACATTCACCTTTGGTGCAGCTGTGGAGAACCCTGAGTACTTGGCCCCCCATGGAGGGGGTCCCCTTCATCTTTCCCCAACTGCCTTCAGCCCAGCCTTTGACAACCTCTACTACTGGGACCAGGATCCTCCTGATAGAGGGGCTGCCCTTAACGGCTTTGCAGGGACCCCCACAGCTGAGAACCCTGAGTACTTGGGTTTGGATATGACTGTGTGATCTCTGAAAGGCCCATATGCTGAGATCCCCTGAAACTCTACACTGCACTTAATCATACTGGAGTGGCAAAAAAAAGACTAGTCTTCAATGCCCCTCCGTATCTGGCCAGAGGGGGATTGCCTGACAACAGACAGAGGAATCTGGGTTGCTACCATCACATTGCCCCTTCCCTTCCCAGCAGCTCTAAGGTCCCCAGCCTCTTGCTGGGGGTATATTTATTGGTTTCTGAGCTCCAGATGCCTAGACTGGAATCTTGGTTTGTAACATGACTGCAGTTCAGGTGTATGTGGTCAGCTTTCTCCACTGGACATGCGCCCCAACCTAAGTCTCCTGCTCCTCCCTCTCCTGGCTTCCCCAGCTAGGGTTCACACTGCAAGGGA